AAAGTGGTTACAGCGGCTAGGCACAAGCTTTCTAACCATTTGTACTACCATTTTTGGCAATTCAAGCGGTTAAAAAGCGGCCCAGGTAGTATATATGGGGCCGAGGGAGTTTAATTATTTTTTTTTGAGAAGCTCCCCGCAGGGGAGCTTTTCAATCGCTCTTTCTTATCGCCTATGGCGTTCATATATGTATATTGATAAAAATATATAAGGTCGATAATGTTATTCTATAAAGTTGCATTCAGATGTGCTGTTATACCACTATGTTTTACTGCATAGATCCCTGATTTGACTGCAGCCATAACTGATAATATGGGCACCTGGATCGTTTGTTTTTACCAGGACATTGGACACCTCCATTCGAGCGGTTTAGAGCCTCAGATGCCCAAGAACATATGCGACATGACTTTTGATGCCAGCCTGTTGTAGGCTGTGGATTAATTGTTAGCGATGATACGGTGCGACTACTGTTTGAAGTTGACGGTGGCAACTGGTAATGCATGAATTGATTATGTGCTGCTATTATTAAATTATACCACAATTAGCACTATTCGGTATACATCAGATCTAGCAAGGGTCTTACCATACAGTTGTTGGTCTAAAGAACTATACTGTATGATTGGTGGTGCGTACAGCTGCGGAAGTGGAACAGGAAGTAAAGGTGCCAAGCTGGGTTGATTGCTGGCACAAACTGCTGGTTGCTGTTGCTGCTCAATTGCTGAAGAGTGTTGTGGCCGCGGTGCTTTTGTTGGGCTTGGCGATTGTGCATGTGGCGCAGATCGCTTTCGTGCTGTCGAGGTTAATACGGATCGCAGATCTTTCAAAACTTTACTGTTATCGCTAACAGTTATTTGAATATTGTCATATTCGCACCAAATGCTGTTATAGTACCCGCGCAAGTGTTCTGGTGTTTTGTAAAATATGGTTTGACCATTGACACTTTCAGACCACACTTTTGTGAACTCATCGAAGTCGATTGCTTTCGATTTGTGATTCGGGAACTTATCCTTTAGAATACGATCGAATACTGCACGCTCATATGAGGTATGGACCGGAACAACAGCATGTACTGTTTTCTGTCGTGAGGCGAGAAATGAATACTGGGCACCGGTCGTTTGCAATGTTGAGGTGTTGATAATAACCAATGCGGCAGCTTCTTCCGATGTTGGCTCTGAATGTAACTGTACTGATGTTTGCGGTGCTTCTCCGATACCATACAGTTGCATAAAATCGCTCGACAAAGGAGATATTCCAAATGTTTCTCCAGACGAAACAAGTTGTATTGCATGTTGATGGACACCAGGCTCATCATACTCATATGGTAGGCCAAGTGAAGCTCGCAAGTCAACTATGTGCTGCGTTGTCCATGGCTCATAATGTCCATTATGAATACGACGGTAGAGGTTAGCCATTCCCACCTTTGTGTCACGTTAATTAGCATAAATCCAAGTACACATATGGTTTAGTAAAGTTCATCCTTACATCAATGTTGTGGTGCAAGCGATAGTCTGCTAGCACTGCGTCAGCGAGTTCGGGGCTAGCGCCAAACGATCCAAATTTTCGAATGATATTTTGGTGAATACCACCTTTGAGAGAATTAGTGCCACGACTGCAGCGATACATGGTCAGGCCATCTTTATCCTTTCCTTGGACGAAATAGAAAGGTATTCCAGGAGGATCAGAGACATGTCCGAGATGAATGGTTTTTAAAACATTCTTGGCCTGCCTCCAGTTTCCGTTGTCAAACAATGGCCGCCCGGTTTTGCCACACCTTAATGGTCCGTACTCTTCAAAAAGTGCTTTTACCGTATTATATAGCTCTTTGGGAGGAGGTACAACCCCTAAATCAATTGTAGGTTAGTAAAACACAAGTAGATGAACATCGCCTATTACGTACGCCGTACTCTACGAAATATCCAATCTGGGTTTTTTGCCAGTTTTCCTTCCCATGTCAGGCCTTGCTTTTCCAAGACACTTTTCACCTTCTCTTTGTCGTTTTCATCGATGACGAACAATGCGTCGCGAAAATCTTTGGAAAATGGCTTAGATAAGCCATGCTTACGTGAAACTCGAATCATTTGCATTAAATGAAAAACGTCTTTCAGGATGCGAGAGTGAATTGGCGACGGTATTTCCTTGTTGGCTTGCTTTGGTAACTCGCTGAACTGCTTCCTCCCGTATGACTGACTTTCACGATCGATATCTTTAGCAATTGATACTACTGTCCCATCGTCATCTACTAGGGCTCTAAACGGGCCATGCCCGACGGGCATCGGGCCAGTTCAGCCGGGCCATGTCTTTTGCCCGAACCCGAAATTACAAGAGCCCAAATTAAAGTGGCCCGCCTGATGAAATCTACAATGTAAACGATCTTAATGCAGCAATGACTAATGTAGAAGTGAAATGGGGTTCTGCCTTGTGTTATCGTATATAAGGTTTGGGCAAAAGTCATCTTTATTGTATTAGATCATGTAATCGCTATCTTGCACACACTTTTTTGAAACAGCAGAACTTCTGCAAGCAACAAAGGAAAACCAAGAAGTACAAAAAGCCAAAGCGACACAGTGAGACAAACCAGCAATTCGACATCGCAAATGGCGTAGGAATGCATCCTGCTTTGCATTTTTTCAGCAACGTTTTTTCTCTCGATGCCCGTCAAATGGAATTCAGGTCGACCATATTGCTTCAGAACGAATTTTTAATCACCACATACAGTACTACTCGACCATATTTATTTTCCATACAACTAAGAGCCCGTTCGGATAACCAAAAAAATGCATTTTAAGGGGCGAAAATGCATTCTGGGGCAAAATACATTTTGGTTGTGTTCAGGGTGCCATTTCAAAAAGTCATTACGGGAGCCAAAATGCATTTTGAGGAAAAGTAGGTCTGAGCTGCTTTTTTGAAAAAAGTCATTTTGCAACATTTCCCACATTTACACCACCCATAAAAAATATTCTAATATAATACTCGTCGGCTCAAAATAAAGCGATACAATGATAAGCAACGATCTATAGCTGTTATTTCAAATAAAATGCATTTAAAAAATGTCGTTCGAGAATTATCTCGAAGCAATGACTGGCAACTTTTTGAGAGTGTTCGGTTTGCCAAAAATGCATTTTGGGAAAATGCATTTCAGCATCAAAAAAGTAGTTTTGCCAAAATGCTCTGAATTTTACCATATGACTCAGCTTTGTTTTACCGGCACTCCATTCCATTTCGACATTGTGCATCCCAATCAAAAAAAGGGTGGCTGCGTACATACTGTAATGGTGCATACACAGCCACCCTTATTGTTTTTCAAATAGGTACACTTTTTCAAGCGCACTACTCAAGATGAGGAAGGATGCTTGTCATAGCTCTTTTTTCTTTATCCAATGGTTTTCTGCAAAGCACCACCTTTAGTAAGCCAAAGGTTGTTTTTTTCGGTAATAAAGCATCTGTATGGTCGAGGCACTTTTCAATCACTATTGTTATCCTTTTTTTTCGTGTAATAAAGCTATCATTATACTGATCCACTTTATCTTCACGTTTTACTTCTGCTTACACAATGCCAGCTGGAAATTATCTTTGCTTGAACACATAGCCCTTTCACACTAATACCGATCCTATCCAAGTTCTAAGACATTTGCGGATTAGCATGCTGCAGGCAGTTTGAATAGTGCTAATTGACATAGCAGCCTTTCATTGTCGCAACTTGGCCCATCAACACCAATCATTGTGTAACCGGATCATTGTAGAAACTGCTCAACCTTTTGACAAATCTTTCCATATTAAAGATGTATACTTAGTTGATTAATCTTTATTTGCAATACACGGTTTTGATAGAATCAAATTACATATATAACAAGGACCATTTAGATGGACGTTTCATAAAGAAAATATATATGCTTCACATTCGGGCACTTGGTTGGGCCAGTGGCCCAATGGGCGGGCCACTATATAGGATTGTGCCTGTTCAGGCACCCACCTTCATACAGCTTTCCTGGCCCGATGCCCGAAAATGCCAGGCCAAAACGGGCAGTCCACGGGCCTGCTCGCCTGTATTTAGAGCCCTAATTCAAATTAATCTGTCAATAAGTACATAAATCGAGTGAAGTACATGATGGCTTTATACTGATTAATGCGCTATACTGCACAGTTACGTAGTGAATAAAAAAAAAAGGCATAAAAAAGTCACGGCCAACCCACACATCTAGTATGAAGCAGGATATGGGAGTTGACTGTGGCCTTAGCAGAAAATTAAATAATATATCAATGCATATGCACGTCAAATGAAATTCAGTTTTGGTAATGACAAGCACTACCTGAAAATGTAAGCTGTATAGTCACTGTATAGATTACAAGGGCTATGTATAATCATTGTTCGAAAAAAACTGCAAGACATATCTGCTATAGACACCATCAAGCAATAGGATCGATAAAAGACTTGTGTGATATTCAACAATAAGAAGAGGCCGGTAAGTGACGAGACTCAAGTAATGACTGATTTATTTCGTATGTTGAATCATCACTTTAAATAATAAAAGCTTATTCTCGAGGGGTTGGATCATTGACATGGTTGTAAGGCACATGAACCGCTGTGGTAACCAGGGTTATGTGGGTTTCACTAAGATAGGCAAGGTTATTACGATGAACGCATGTCAAGACAGGGATGTGGCTGTTGATCGGAAAATTAAAGTAACCCGTTGTCAATAAGCAAACAAGGGTAAATGATGCATAAGCCATAATCATGTTGTGGATACAACAACTTGTCAAAGTTAAATATTATAATGTTAAAATACAATCAGTAGAAGCAAAGTGCAATGCGGCATTCGAAAAATACTGACCATATAAAGTAGCAATTACTGCCTATATATGGTAGCTATTTTGTCGAGTAAGGACAGCGATTGGAGCAGTAAGTTCCCCATAGATGTGATCCATGCCTAATTATAATATATTTATGTCACGTGATTGTAAATATGACGTGGTATATAATTAAATGAGGTTTCAGAATATAAGGGGATGTAGCTCAAATGGTAGAGCGCTCGCTTCGCATGCGAGAGGCAGCCGGATCGATGCCGGCCATTTCCATTCGAATCAGAATCAGTAAGATTCAATTTTACATTTTGTCCGCCGTACATATTTTAAAGTTTAGTATACAGTTACACAACTCATGTAATTTATAATACAATTATTATTTCTTTACTGCAGCACACAACAGTGTGCTTAACATAGTAAGCAGATACCTACTTATTTTTGTTATTGTAGCCATTACAATGAAACCTCATTTTTTGCACACTCTTGCTTTTTACACAAGATTTTTGAAAAAAAAAAAAAAACCACCTGTGCAAAAAATGGAGTTCAACTGTAGTCTTTGATATATACTACAGCAGCATTGTTGTGGTACCCAAGGTACTAGCTAGTCGGCACTACCGGGTAAACGTATGACGGTATCTGAATAATACATTGACAGCCTTTCGGCATGACTAGATCTTCCAAGAAGTCTAGAAACATCGCTGTGTCAGCTATATGATATGGCATTTTCCCGACCACGGCTATTTGATTATGAGTTTTATCTCGAGCAATATAAATAGAGAGAACTGTTAACATAATAAAGACATATTCGATTCTCACAGAACTTACTGTTTTTTCTGGATCTATGTCACGTGTAATGTTTCAATGAATATTCGCTTCTTTGGTTTGTCTGTCGATTTCATGATATAACTTCTGATTGATAAAGTGTCAAAAATGTGTATTTGAGGGTTTCCAAAAAAAAGAGGTTTTTTCATTTCTTATTGTTCTTTAAGGAGCGACTTATTTATACTGGTAAGAATTAACTAATGAATGGAAACACGGCTCGGACCAGATAGAAGGATTGACGTAGATATGATACGATGGTAAATAAAAGGGAAATTGGGCTAGAGAATAGTCTGTGAGAAGGTTTTCATGGGGCGGAAACACAAGAAGGAAATACGATGCTAATGATGATTAGCGCGAGCAGTTAAGTGAACTAGTGATATTTAGCTTATATCAATCGGATCAAAGAAAAGGGAACGTATAGAAAGGTGCAGTCATAGAGTTGCCGAGGCCGGACGAAATATACAACACAACGTGACATCTATTCTCTCACATCACAATTGTATATTTATAGAGTATTAAAAAGCAGCAATATACACCTTAGTACAGTTTTTGAACATATATTATTTATCTACTTCTATTCTTCGCGGTCCTAAACCGTTGTGCTTATCTACCTTCATAGTGATCATCATTATCGCTTCGCTATTTCTCTGCAGTATCGAAGTTCCTCAAAAAGACAACGATTGTGCCATGTACTGCATTGCATGCGGCTCTATTTGAGGCTGCTGCTGCAAGTAAAAAGAAAAGAATCTTTTGCTTTTTGATCCAATAAACAACCGCTCTTGTATTTCGAATTATAAGTTATCTCTGAAGACTAAGCAATATATACGGCACTTCTGCTATTTTAGTTGTATCATTGCTCTGCAGCTAATAATAATAAAGAAAAGTTTTGAAGAGAAGTCGTAAAGTTCGAATTCCATATCTTTCAAAATCGTAGTACACACCTCGTTACTATTAATTATACCTCTTGGTACTTTTAATCTATTTTCTAGTGAGCAAAATAAGATTGTCGTATCCTGACATACCGGTCATCCATTGTCTACAATATGGCAAGATTATATGAGGCTCGGTGATAGCGTAGGGTTTTGAGGTTACTACACAATGTATTCGTCTTCTCTGTCCCAACTCATCATCACTATAAATAGAGAGTAACTTTCACAATAAAACAGGATGCATATTTTGGTCCCGTTATTCGAAACCTTTTCTCATTAAGTGGTATCACAAACAAGTAAGTGACGAGGTTCAATGTAAGTCCATTGCTCCATACGCTGAATCTTCCTTTTACAAAATAAACGTTTATTCTCGGTGGACCATGCCGAACGACGCTTGTTCTATATGGATTATAAATCCATCTTCGATGATCTATAGCCTCAAAAAAGGAACAGAAGTCGCGGAACCGCTGTGGATTAGAACACTAAAAGTTCACTTTCCAATCATCAGCAAGGACGAAAGTTATCCGTAACCATGTGTGTATGCGTGGATACAAAACAGACAATGCACAGTGTTGCTTATCCTAAGAACTCCTACCCAACGATAGCTATCATTGACATTTATAGCCACTTGCAGTGTTTGGGGATAGTTAGAGATAGTTGAATAGTATAATTTACTTTATAGAAGGCTATGGCAATCTTTATACGAATGTATGATTTACAGAGGTAAGTACTGATCCTGCCTATTCCTACAGCAAAAAAAAAAGACCGATAAAATGGTATTGTATTCGTTATATCTACGTACATATTGAGAAGCTGGCTAAATATTAGCACAAATAGCTAAAAAACTTAACTGAAACCCCCTTAAAACGATAATATTGCTATAGAAACTATTGCGGACGTATCGCGGACGGATACATCGCAACCTGCAATCCTTAATGTAATTTACCCGGTGGTGTCCCGTACTTGCCTCTTTTTTACAACAGGAAGCCCGACAGTACAGCAGAAACGTACAGCAATATTACATGGCCCTACCTATGCCACGTACAACTGGAAATCGTTCAGTCTCCCCCTTTTAATATGACTTTGCGTTGGCCCTTTGAAAGACTATATGAAGAATGGCCAATGTCGCACAGTTTGTACCGCAATATGATGTCGTGGTTTTTAACGAGATTATTATGATAAGCTTACAAGCAAATAGGCTTTTTTGCACTCCTGGCCGATTGGAAATTGGTGCGTACGGTGCGGCTCCAAAACCTCGTTCAAAGCATCATGAGGGACTTCCAAGGCATGATGATGCGTCCACAAAGGGAATTGGTATATTAGCAGTTTTCGTCCGCGAATACCAACAAGACGGTATTCCGCTGCACGGTGAGCCAGGAAACTCTCTTAAGTGATGATGGCGTTGTACAGTGCAACAGAGATATTACAGTAACGATTTCGGTATGGTAATTGCATCACTTATATACGAGCATGTTCAGTATTCACGCGCGACACACTAATGAATAGCTCAAACCCCACACCGAATTATTGCCCATATACCCTATCATAAAACCATGTGCAATGTTTCGGTGTGGCTATGTACTATTTGCTATTAAAGTAAACAGCGTGCACACATTCCTAGATTACTGAACGTTCGACTCAAGTATGCTGCCACTGGACATAGTCTGGGCAAAGATACGTTTTGGAGAAACTATACAAATTCGCTTGTTAATTTCGCCGTTATATCATTTGGCCTCGAAAATCGTGTTAACTGCATTCCGGGAATTGATTCTTTTAAATTTCCAGTCGATCACATTGAGGCTCTGTCCCTTGTCAGAAGAGTATTTAGCATGTACTTCGAAAGACACGCTTTTGCTCTTAAGGTTGCTAGTTTCAATGTCACATCCGCTAGTAGTAACAGAATGGGCTGCCGTACTTGCATTATACATTCTTCAATAGTGTGCTTGCGGAGGATATCAACAGTTCTGTACGATTTCCACACTCTTTTCTGCTTGCGACTGCCAAATCTACCACTGTAGTCATTCAGTACCATACACAACATATAGGGCCTCTCTTCAGTTCAAATCCAAAGGCACATATGTTATTCAACTTTTTAATTGATCATATCCGAAAGGAGATAAATTAGAGGGTCTTTCCCAGGTCTCTCTTTTTCTTGAGCGCTCGTTCAGCACGATAAACAACACGATCAAACAAACCAGCTACGGTGAAAATACCGCCCACAATGGCACATACACCCGTAAGAAAACTTGCAAATGATGACCGTTCCTCTCGATAAATGATCAACATTGGCGAAATATCCATCACAAAAAACACGCCTTCAGTAAACAAATTCATCAGATGTCTCTACCATTTCGTATCGAGTAACCCTTTTCTTACCTGGAAGACCGTTTGTGCCCTCAGCCAAGGTGCGTTCATTTTGAGTAACCGAGTACTGGTTAGTGTAAATGGGGTTGCCACTGAGGGGCAGCAGCTCGGTCGACACAATCTTTAAAAAGTAATGATATACCGTGTTTGCTTTTACACAGCAACAATTTAGCGTTTCCAAATAATAATAATAAAAAAAGGTCGCCTGTTGCTTACCATTGCTGGTTTTCTTTTGTGTTCCAGCCAAAGGGTTTGTCACGGCCGAAGTGGAAGGAGGATTAGTGACATGAGTTGCTGAATTGGGATCGGGACCAAATTTCAGATGATGGATTTCGTGTGACAAGTCATAGCGACTGCCATCCTCAGCACCTTTGAAATACGATTGCAGGTTGTGGAGATGCATATTGGACTGTTGGAACGATTGACCAGGTGCAATATGGAAATTGCCACGCACTTTGTTGACAGAGAGCTGTCCATGAACATTGCATCCCTCGTTGGCTTGGTTATCGATTTTGTCGCGCCAGTTTTCTCGTACGCATTGTTCGAATTTGTCCTTATCCCCCATTCCCCATCCCATTGCTCCGTACGCTTGTCGAATATCATCGCATGTGTTGCAGCATCCATCTGGCCGTAATGATCGTGCGCCAAAACAGCTTCCACACTCATTCTCGTCTTGCTTTTTCAGTGCTAACTCAGCACCTTTGGTATCATCACCCAATTCTATCATTCGTCGGATGAGCGCTGGGCCATGTATAGAAGAAAGTGGGAAGCTTTACTTTTTGCTTTTTCGGTATCGATTTTCACACCCATTGGGTCAAGGCGTACTTTATAGACGTCGTGCGTGTATCCCGTCGTATGCTCGCCACTATCATCCATGATATCGATGCTAAGCACTAATACATGTTAAGAAAAAACTGGTGTATCTTTTGTTAAGTTATGCTTACTGTGACAAGGCATCTTGGGAAACGTAATGTTGAACTGAATGTTCATCTTTTCTTTTCTTCCCTTGTCAACAATTAACTCTGGTTGCCATTGTGGAGTGCGATATGCTACGAGTTCCGATAGCACAAGGTATAAAATGATCAACGCGCTGATGACGGTTACTTTATAAAGCGTCAATGGCAGTGAAAAAAAAACTATAGTCCTTTTATTTTCATC